AGTTAAAAAATTTAAAATAAAAATTATAAGTAGTAACTAACTATTATACATATACTATATATATTTTATATAAAAATGTTTAGATTTACTATAAATAACAATCTTTAGTAATTATTTATTATTTAATAATATACTTAATAATCTAAAATTTTAATATTATAGTTCTTTTAGTTTTGGTCTTTATAAACTTTTTTATAATAATAATCTCTATTATAGTTTTCAAGATTATGTTTTTATAAACTTGCTTATAATAATAGTCTTGTTATAGTTTTTAAAATTATAATTTTTATAAACTTTACTATACTGATAGTTTTATTATAGTTTTTAAAATTATAATATTTATAATAATACAGTTTATAATTATAATTTTTATAATAAATTTTTCTATACTAATAATGATAATTTCTGTTATAATCGTAAGATTATAATTAGTAAGATTTTAAAATTATTATTTTATAAAATATATTACTTAATATAATAATATTTTTAATATATATTAAAATCTTAATATTAATTTTTGTAGTTCTTAAAATTATAATTCTTATTATAAATTTTTTATAATTATCCACTAAAAGTATTTTGATTTATTAAATAATTTTATTAATTCTAATAATTAGTTAATTATTTAAAATAAAACTCTTAAAATTAATAATTATATATATATTGTTACGATCCAAAATAGGATCGTCAATAATTTATTAAAGACGATTACATAATTAAACAGTAGTATAGTATATATGTAGTGTAATTAGCAGATATAGGGTATTTAGCGTAATTAGCAGATATAGGGTATATAGTGTAATTAGCATATATAGCAGATATAATGCATAAAGTAGATATAGCATATATAGTGTATAGAACATAAATAGTATATTTAGCAAATAGAGAAAAAGTATATAAGCAATGCGTTTAAAATATAAATAGAACAGAGAATAGAATAGGATGTAATAAAGAAATACTTACCAGATACACTCGCCAAATCCAGCACCTCTTTCGAGTGTAGTAACATCCTATGTTACGTGAATAATCAAATGGCTACCCTATGAATAGGGAATTCTAGGGTAGTTCCAACCAGTATTGTTACATTTGGTGGTGACTGTGAGATCGTCTGACCCCCTCCTCCCGATTCGAATAAAATAAAAGAAAAGTTAGATTAGAAGGAAAGATATAAGAAATAAAGAAAAGAATCAGTAAAAAGAAACTCACCAACATACCGTGTGAAAGAAAGCCAATGTATTGACAAGAAAGTATCGCCTCTTGAAACGATGTACCGACACCTTACTGACACACTATGTGAAGGAAGAAGCCAATATACTAGCAAAAAAAGGATCACCTCTTGAAACGACGTACCGATACCTCACCGACGCACCATGTGAAGGACGAAAACCAACGTACCGGCAAAAGGATTAAATCGTCAAATTGAGACCTCATTGACGTACTGTGTGAAGGAAGAAAGTAAATTAAATTAGAGAAAGACAAGTATTAAAAGAACAAGAAAGAAAAGAAAAACTTACCAGAAGAAAGTCGGCCAACGTATTGGCAAGAAAGAATATACCCGTTGTAGACGTACTCACCAGAAATTGGAAAAAAATAGAAGGGAAAGAAAATTTCCGTTAGTAAATTGATAAAGGATAACAAAAAAAAAAAAAAAAAGTAATACTTTACCTGAAATCCGAAGAAAAGAATCCAGCCCAGGTTCTGATGTCCTGGCAAGCCAAGAGAAAGATAAGACGTTAGTATCAAGAACTGAAAATAAAAAAAAAAAGTTTGAAATTGAACCAAACTTGAATAATCTTTAAAAAATTGTTTGGTTCAAGTTAAGTTCAATATTCAAACTGAACCCAAACATGACTAAAATTTGGGTTCAGTTCAGATTCATCAGAGTACTATTAAGAGGTATTAGCAAAATTTTCTGAAGAAGAAATTTTTAACATACTTGCAAAATTTTTAAATAATAAAGCCTGTGGCCCTTTAGACATAAGTTACAAAATGCTTAAACATTCTAGTTTACTATTTATCTAAGCTATAACTGTCCTATTTAATAAATGCATTTTAACTAACAGTATATCCAAACAATAGAAAAAAAGAAAGAATTTTTCTTATCTCCAAAACACCTATTTTCAATAGAAGTTTAACTAATACCAAACCTATTAGTCTTTTAGAAAATATTAAAAAATTATATATCAAACTTCTTATTAACTACTTAAATACTACTTTCACTTCATATTTAATACTATCTCTTTATAACTATATTGCTCTTCCTGGTAACAGTATAGCAATACCAATTCATATACTTAACAATATAATTAAAGAAGTCTCTTGCAACTTCAAAGAACTTTGGCTTATATCTTAGAATATGAGCAAAGCTTATAAATCAGTAACTCTGACCTTATTCACAAGTCTTTAATATAAATTAACATAACATCTAAATTAGTAAAAGTTCTTACTAATTTGCTTGATGATTATCACAACCAAGTTATAACTAATCTTGGATATACAGATTTATATTTTGTCAAAAATGAAATTGATTAAGAAGAAACAATAATAATATTATTTTGACATATTTACTATGACCTTTTTATCTACAGAATTGCATCTCAATTTACAGACTATACTCTTTTAACATTATGAAAAATTAGTCTACAACCTTTTTACACCAACACCTTTAAGTCTCTACTTTAGTCTTTGCTTATATGAATGACACATTATAGATTGCTCAATTTAAAAATGAGTTAGAATAAATTACTCAAATAGTAACATTCTTCTACCAAATGGCCAATCTTTAGATTAATTTTACTAAGTCAATAATTTGTTACAAATGCCAAACCTACTTTTATTACCTTCCTTAAATATACTCTTAACTTTATTTCTAATAACCAACCTTTTAAATATCTAGATTGTTGGTTTATACTTAACAACAAACAAACTTATACAATTAAATTAATTTAAAAGAAGCTTTTCAACTAGTTAATACTGCAAACACAAAAAACATTATAGACAAACAAATTACTTACATTATTAATACAGTTATTATCTCAATATTAGAATATAGAATATATTATATTATACTTTCAAAATAATTGCATACTGACTAAATAAATATCTTACAGTTGCTAAATACAAATCTTATCTTGCTTAATAATTCCCAATAATACAATGGTTTACCTTTATTTATACAATATACATAACATTTGAGATATACAATTATAACACTATATTACTACTTTTTTTTAACAAATTAATAATTCCTATTTACTAGGTGTTTTTATATGTATTAGATTACAACAGTTTCAAAACAACCTTTGGTTTACTATAATCATTTATGAATATCCTCAACCTAATATTGATAGTTAAGATAAATATACTTTTAATTTTAAAATTATTCAACTATTTTTACAAATTGCTGTCTTCATTAAGGTTAATAGTAATACATTATAGCCAAACACTATCCATTATTTGCTTCAACTACTTGAACTTATTCTTCAACATTACCCTAAATATACAACTTTTAAAAAGCAATTTAGATGACTAAATCTATTTTATTTTGAACAACTTTGCACTTCAGACATACTATACTTCTTGAATGGCTATATTTGTTATTAAGAATTATTTATTTTCCTAAAGACAGAAAACTGATCTGATTTACTGAACTTGAAAATCTTATTATAGAAAATCATCATAATTGTTCTCTAAAACTTCAATACCAACAGCAAGAAACTAACCTTTTTGCATATAACACATACAATATTCTCAAAAAATATAAACTATAGCTGATTACTTTCAATAATATGAAAATTATTATAGTCAAAATCTATAAACATCTTACAGATTCTAACCAAATATCAATCACATACTGGCAAACAGATATTAATATAAACAGTACTGATTACTACTTATTTCAACAGATTAATTTTGTCTTTTGTTTAGGCTGTCAACTTAACTCACAACAAATAACCACATTATGCATTATTAATACTTCATCTATTATATCTGCCCAATTTTTTGGTATAATTATTTTAAATTCAGTTAAAATAAATGCAAACTACCTAGATCTCCTCAGCTCTGCACAATTAAATGAGCTTTGTCAAATTCTTTACTACTACTATTGGCTTCTATTTTTATCCCTAACTCTATCTCTTTTGTAATTTATAAAGTAAGTGATGTAACTAACAAACTTAATCAAATATCTTCTAATAATTTACTACATAACTTATTTAACTTTTATACTAATGGTTCAGTAATTAGTATAAGTAGAAATAACTGTACTATGAATATTAGTTAGGTCTGAGTAAATTCCAATAAACAAGTTATTTACAAATTTGCTGTCTAAGTTCATCTCTAAACATCTTCTTATAAGGCTAAACTCTTCTCTATTCTGTCTCTATTTCAACTACCTTCTGAAATTCTATAATCAACATCTATACAGATTTCTAATTTATAATATCAAAATTTATTCAACTTAATCAATCATCTCTAAATTCTAATAAACTCTTTAAATTTAACATATAGCCATTATGGCATATCTTACTAAATATTATTAAATCATACAAATTAAATATTATTTTTCATAAAGTTCAAGTTTACTTAGGCAACACTCTTAACAATCTAGCAAACTCACTTGCTAAACAACATACAAATGAACCTTTATTACACTTTGACTATACAAATATACACAATTTATATTATTTATTATTTTTTGAAACAGAAAAATTTTCTGTTGAACTTTCTATCAGATACTTTGTTAAAAGTATCTGTAAAGCTTACAACCTTGCACTATAGTTATTATAAAAATTAAATGATGAATAAACTCTATTAGCCCACCATATTGACTAAAATTTAACCTGGCTATACTTTAACTATAATTATAAATCTACTTACAATCTTACTAATTTTAAAATTAACCAATTCAAATTATTTAAAATTAAAATAATTCTTAATGAACTACCTACTTAATACCTTTATTATAAAATCTATTCTCTAACCTTTTATAATGCCAATTGCTTGTATTCAATTTAATTATGTCATTATTAAATTAGTGCACTTGTGCTAATTCCTTTTTTCTTGATAGCATCATTTCTAATATAATAACTAACTATATAAACTCAACCAATTTAGGCTTCTATAACAATAAAACTAAAAAACTTATTCAAAAAATTAAAGACACTTCAGCTTTCAAAAAAACATCTCTTTATTCATCTTTACACTACATAGAAATTACTCTTAAAGGTTTTATTTCTTATTTCTAATTAAAACTATTCAGGATTTAGAAGTTTTATACAAACTAGTATCAACAATTATGATTAATATTCTGCTTAAAATTAACAAACAAATCTATAAACAATTATAGAAACCCTATTGTATTAATTTCTCAAATTAAAAAAAACAATAACAAATAATATATACATATACCACTTAACAAACTTCATTTTTTTATAGTAGAAATAATATATATACTTATCATAATTTTACATATTTTTGGTTTTGTGGTCAATCTGACCAACTCATTCACATACTGAAACCTGTCTACTTGTTAGATAGGCCTTTAGAAAAATTAATACTTGAACCATTTTGTAGATCAAGTATTACACAACTTCTAACTTTATTTTAACTATAAATAATGTTATCTAGATGAGTTTCTAACTACTCTAGTAGATATAGGTCACAGATAAATTAGATTTATTTAATTGTATGAGTTTTATTTTTGCATATAATTTTCTTTTTTATTTGAACTAGTACAAATAGTAGAAATGTATATACTATACATATGTTACTATTTTATAAATTATGTAATAAAAATATAAATAAGACTTTACTTAAAAAATATATATATATATATAATATGAGATTTACTAGAAGAAGCTGTAATTGAAGCAATAAACAAATAATGTCTTCAAAAAAAAATATTTAAAACAAAGACAAAAAGAAGACAAAGCAAAAGAAAACATGACAGTACAAATATATTATTAAGTTGCAGCAGATAATTTTATTTTATTTTATTTTATTAAAGCCGATGTTATTGGTAGCTATCACCTTTATTTGTGTTTTTGGTCAATGCATTACATATGACTTGTACAAGGTAAGTATGCAACTAGCTACATGTGTAACTTTTGGTTCCCTATTTAAATAGTTCATCCAAGAGTTCTACACTAGTTGCCATGCCAGTAACCTACTAGAAGAGTACCTATTTAAACACTCTAATCCTTATACTACACCCAGACAAGTAACACTTGGTTTCTGTACAACTAAGTGCTATATAACCCAACATTTAGCTTTACTTTTTTGTACATCTGTCAACTATTAAACATTTCAGAATATGTCACCTGACTGTAAGGTTTCTGGATACCTCTTGTTAACTACCTACGAACTTTACAGAACATTAATAATGCTAGCCCTTGTAGAGTTTACCCAAATTCTAGCACCTACTTTACAGCATATCCCTAGTACTTATAGTATACCCCTGTTTTGACTCCAGACTCCCAATCCAAATAGCCTAGTAGGACTGTGACCTGTTCTTGGTATATTGAGCCAGCTCAATATCCTTTTCCTCCGGTTCAGTTTCAGTAGCCTGG